CTCAAATGGGTACTTGTAAGATGATTGTAGGTGGTTGTTAGGGCTCCATATGTCTTATTTTCCTGATCATGTAGGATTGCTTACAAAACCAGCACAGAAATTTAACAGCAGATATCTCCAAATTTGTCTTAGTGACTCATTTTAAAAAGGGAAATACCTTACGTGTACTTTTTGTAAACTTGGTTAGAACAATGATTCATTCTTGGTTAGCTTGGTTGTGCATGATATGCAAACTTTGTAAGACTGTGGCAGCACTTGCTTTTTTTCCTCCTTGGTTTTAAACCATTCTGAAATGTCTGTAGATTATTCTGAAACTGCAGATTGTTAGTCTGTAATTAATTAATCTTGGTTGGTTTCCCTCGGAGAATCAGACAGGAGCCAACATCATGAATCTGCAGAGAACTTCTAAGTGTGTTTATCAGAAAAATAGGTAAGTCAATATGGAAAATATACATAGCTATTTATAGCACATGCCTTCACTGAACGGTGGCTAGCACATACCTGCCCTCATTTTTCTCCTGCCCGAACAAGCAGGCAACATCCAGGGAGGTGACTTGTCCTGCACTCTGCTGCACAAACTGGGTGAGATCAGGATGTGAGGAGAACAGTGGATACTGGGGATGTTGGCTTCAAAGGCCCCAAAATTCATTCTTAGGCATTGCAACTACTAGTTTCCTCCATGAATTGTCTCCTCCTGCTCCTTTCCTGCAGTCTTCTTCAGTAGCTGTGTGGAGGGAGGTGTACCAGGTGTTGGACAAGGACTCCAGGAGATAACTGAGCTCTCCTCTTCTGCCTGTAACACTACACTGCTACAGAAAAGCACACTGCAAGATACGTTTTAATTAGAATGTGTTTTACTGCAGTGTAATTAAGGGTAAATTGCTTGTGCTTTTTGCAGTAGGGCATTTTTTTATTGTGCTTTGCCATATTGGATTCTTATCATTGCCTCAGAGAGAAGGAAATGAGAATGTGGGAGACCATTTATGTAACAGTCTGCATTATTTTTGGTGAAGACTACTCATGAGTTTAACTTGGGGCAGTCTCTAAAGGATCTCACACTGAAGGAATATAGTACTTCACTTTGTAGTATTGCATGTCCCTTCAGGAAGAGGGCACAGAGTTGAGCTGACTGTTTTTGGTTGCTTTCTCTAATCAATGCAAATTATTGAGGACTCAAATGTTGAAGAAACATTGCAGTACTTTTGCTGTTGAAATAACAATCAGAAACTATCATATCTTCCAAGATGCATATTAGCAAAGACAAAAATTTCAAGAATATGTGTGCTGGCTAGCTGCATTTTGATTCAGATTTGTTAAAATATTTTGGTGTGGTAACTTAAAATTAAGTAAACAATAATTCAGTGTTCTCAAGAAGTGTCCCAATAACGTCTTTTTGTAGAATTCTGTTTTCAAGATAACTTTCTTGGTGTGAAAAATGTTTTTACTTCTGTGCTCTCTCTCTTCCCACCCACATTACAATTTTCTACAGATGAGGTTACTGTCTGCATATGCAGTGCTGGGGAAGATCATAGGCTTTCATTTTGCCTTATATGATAAAGCTGGTAATGATACCAGCTTCTTAGACATAACTGGTCACAAGTGAACTTGAGCTTAAGTTTGCAGGAACAATCACTCAACATCATAAGAGGTAGGTGATTTGGAACAGCTAGCTCCAGAAACTGCTGTGTAGGTAGGTTCAGTCATTTGCCACTCCCAAAAGTGAAAAATACAGTATTTCTATTCCAGTCTCTCCCACTCATCATGTCTGGCTGCCTGGTTTTCCAGCTCAGTTAAGCTACTGCATTAGTCCATAAAGCTTTGCTGTAAACCACCAGATTGTTGAAATTTTTGCTCTTGACTTGACAGTGGCAGCTTCTCTGCTGTTAGAGACCGGAGGCACCCTTAGCAGAGGAAGTACTTCTTTAAACTGCTTATATGTTTTCTGTTTTATACCAACTGGTGTTTTTAACAGAATATGTTGGTTTATTTTTATCACAATTAACACTCTGTGCCTTAAATTCTCATGAGAATTCACTCCCAGGAGAGTCCATGCCTTGAACTGAGTCAAGAGATGTGGCCAATTGCTGCTCCTAGGTATTTTGCATTAGGAAGCAGATATACCTGAGCAAGAAAGGGTGTTTCACAGCTAAATGCTGTTCCTGAGCCTTTGACTCCTGAACAAAATTGTGGTTGTGTTCGAGGTGTTTTAGCCAGATGTTCTGTCACATGTGTGTTCAAATTGCAGAAAGATGTCCAATAGCTTGCTTAGCCTTTGCATGGTTAGAGGAATTAGCCAAGAGGTTCATGCACTGGCCTATAAGAGTTTTTACTAGTGTGCTGTGCTTCTTAGAGTTTCTCAGAGGTTGTGATGCAGTTAATTCAGGGTATACATTCCTGCTCCAGCTCTCACTGATGTTGTTGGAGGGCAGTCTCATTCTTTCAGTCCTATAGTTTAAGTCTTCCTTGAGCTGCCGTGCTTGCTGACTAACATTCCTTTAACAGGGGTAGGATAGGGGTCGTTCCAAGCATCTCAAAAGGAACAGAATGATTGGCTGTAGGATATAAGCTAATGTTTTAATAACTTCACTGAAAGTGGGGATTTAAGTCTAGAAACAGAGGGGGAAAGATAACCCAGCCCTTCATGCTTCCCAGTTCATCAACCTGGAGCTAATACGGAAAGAGCTAATTATTTGGAAATTAGTTCAACTCTATGACTTTTGCCTTTCTTATTCTTTGTGGGTGATTTTAATGGGTAGTCTGCATTTAGAGACAATCTAAAAAAAAACCCAATAGAACAGCTCTAGTATATAGAGATTCTTTCAGTGGATCATGAATGGTAATGTCAAAATCTAAAGAATAATGAAATGAACTACTGTAAAGATCTTATTTCAATAAATGTGATTTAATAAGTATTTTAAATTAATATTTTAATATCTTGAATTTTCATTAATTGTTGAAAGCATTGTTTCTTCTATACGTAAAGTAGATAATTTGTTTCTTTTGTTGGGAATAATGGGTAACCTTCAAATACAGGCAGCATGCAGTTCGTTGCCTGGGGCGTGTTGGATGATCAGTATCTAGATACTGATTGCGAAGTTACACATTAACTGTCTGTATTAAAATTAGTTCTTTATTATCCCTTGTATATCCCCCTGAAGAAACAGCAGTTCCTGTTATGTTCAAAGCTACTGAGTTTTCCTGTGCACTGTTCCAGAGCAGATCCTTTGTTAAGGGCTGTCTCCCTGCTCCAGGCTGTGTGTTCCTAAATGTTTTGTGGGGGCAGGTGCCCCCTGTAAATGGGGTGAGAACTGATGAGCTGTGTCCTGCCCTGCTCCAGTGAAAGTCTCTTGCTCTGCTCAAGAAAACAGACAAGTTACTGGGTGCATGCTAGCTCTGGGTGGCTGTCAGCATTCCTGCACTCCTACTGTCTACCTTTCTTTGAGCAATACTTTTGTGTTTAACATATTCTGCTGTTTGGTCTAGGATTCTGACTGTCTTTGATACCTGAAAATTACAACACACAAATTTCTCAGTGTTGAAAACTCCCAGAGTTACTTACTTTCTTTAAATCCTGGAAAGTGCTTGTTCCAGGTAAAAAGTTAGGGCAGTGTCAGCGTCTTTGAAACACACAGATTCATTTATAGATGATCTTTTTATTTAACCTAATAGCATATTCCTATCCAGACATCCAAGGTTGTATTTCTTTAAAAACAAATAAATCATGTGAATGTGCTGAGCAGTGTTTGGCATATTGAATAGCCAGGGCCTTGTGCATTTACAGTTTTGTTTTCCTGCCTTGTCAAAGAATATTATCTTGCAGACTCTGAAATGTTTTGGCCTTCAGAAAGATGAGCTATAAAGCTCACCAGGGGAAAATCGATCCTTATCATCTCTCCACATTGTTTTCCACCTTCTCCAGCTATCATATTTCAAACCCCAGGCCTTGGTCCAGCCCATGCACAGTTTTTTTAACTGGCTTAGTCAGGAATGTGGTTTCCCTCCTTTTACCTTAGTTTACACTTAGTTTATAGCAATAACATCTGTTGTGTGAAATCACTGCAATAAAATTGTCCCTCTCTTTGTGCAGGGAGATTAGCTGTAGAAGCAAATCAGCATTGCACCTTCCACATCCTGGGTGGACAGCTTTAAGTGATGGCTCTAATCAGAGCAGTTTGTCTCCTGTGTTTTGATGTGACTGTGTTGAAGTGTACTGATGGTTCTCCCCAGTGTCTCTGGAAGGGGCAAGCTTTGGTGTGTGACCCTCAGGCTCAAAAACCTGCTGTCATTGCTGTCCCAGGGCAGAGAGAGTACTCACTGCATCTGGCTGTGCCTCCTTCAGTGTGGTACCAGAGCACAGTGGTGCTGGTGGTTGCAGCAGCATCTCTCAGCATGCAGTTGAAACAGCCATTCATATTTAAAACATAAAAGATCTTCAGTCTGTATTGTTGTCACTGTCCTTTAGCAGCACAAATCTCAACAGCCAGCTTTTGCTATACAGTATGTAATTATGAAGCCACAGGTAGTGACCTAAGTCCCTTATTATTTTATTTGTGATTGTTGTTCACGATTCAGCAGTGAGTCTTCACTGAAGGGAAGTTGGAAGTTACACTGTGGAATTCTGCCTTTAGGTGCCACAAGGTAGAGGTTTTTCAAGCGGCTGTTTTGTGCGGAGAAGAGAGGAGAGGTTTATTGCAAGAGTTGCATGAAGCACTTCAGAAACACTGCAATTTTTTTTTTCTCTTTCTTTCCTTCCCCTTCCCTTTTTCCCTTGAGTTAATTAAACCACAAAAGACAAGAAGTTTTCTATGGGCAATATCATAATACCTTTAACACAGTCGTGATTTCTGTAAGGATGGTTTCACCTTTTACATTCAGGCAGACATCTCTGATGTCAGATCACACGGAAGCAGATCACTGTGACAGGCTGGGTGCTGCCTTTAACCAGGTACACCTTGCGTCCCAACTATTCTAAGGCAAGTTCCCTTGTGTCCATGCTGCAGGTGGGACTCTGGAGGCATACCGGGGCTTGGAGGGGCCTGGAAGGAGCACCTTACAGCACGCTGGTGCCATCTGATGGTAAGCTTTCACAGCAACTTCTCCCCTTTCCCATCAGTGTCAACAAGCTTTTTATTTATTTTATGAGAGTCTGTGGCATGACATTAGCTGCATGGTTTTAGATATGTCTTCCAGAAATAGAAGTACTATATTAATTTTAAAAATCTAGAAATGTTTTGTCTAATTTTCCTTATTTATCCTGTGTTTTAGAACCAGCTTTACATGAAACTACAACCTACAATGCAACTTTTTCACTTAGTTTTCTTTTTTTACCCCCCCAGAAGTAACTATTAATTACAGACATGGTCTTCCTGTGATAACTCTTATGCTGCCCACAAGAAGTGAACGCTGTCAGTTCACTGTCAAGCCAGTAGTGACCACTGTAGGAGCATTCCTGCAGGATGTGCAAAGAGAAGACAAAGGAATTGAGAGAGCTGAAGTCTTTGCAACAGGTATCCTGTATTTCTGTTATTCCCCAAAATAAATGCATTCCTTTTCAAATGGATTGTACTTCTGTTTTGGAGCATAAGTTCAGTCCTCCATCAGGTTTAGCACTGTAGCTCTTGAATGCTTCTAGGCTTTACTGTTGTTTCAGGGTTAGTAACTGAGTCCTCTTGAAAAGGCTGATTAAAATTACAGAATTGGATCTATTACTGTAACTCTCCTTTTATGCCAGTAGTGTCCTCTGTTATCTTTTTCAATTAGCTTCTCTTTGTAATGCTCCTGATTTCCTTGACGTCTCTTTCTTTCCTCATCCTCCATGGTAAAAAGAAAGAAAAATAAGGTTACCTACATATGTATGGAAATATTTATTTAGCAGCAGATAACACATAAGCATCAGTAAGGATGCTGTCAGTGAAGGCTGGTCCGGTTTTCATAGCTGGGTGGATTCATAATGTTCTTTTCTTTCTGATAGATACTACAGAGGACTGCAGGGGCTTTTAAAGAAACTGAAAATAGACTGATGTTCCCAAGAAGTCAGAAAGCCACAGACCTAAGAGAAGCTGCTTTACTTTCCTTTGTGGGCATATGTAGTAAAACAGGAAAATACCCCACAGAGCAGTTTATTGATATCCTGTGGAGCAGTGGAGGTGTGATCTGCGTGGATCCCAGTGTGAAGCTTCAGGAGCTTCATGTACATGGGTGCTTTGGTGTCAGGTTTTTTTGGTCATGTTTTGCTTTGTTTTGACAGTGTCTGCTAGGGAGCAAAAGTAGAAAATTCTCTTGAAGATAATTTCCTAAAAGACTCTTTATCTTCAGAAGCCACTATAGGAAATGGTCATTGTGAGCAGCTGCCCTTCCCCTTAGCACAGAAGTTTTTCCCTAAAAAGGATTTCTTAGTGGGGTGAGGCAGAATTTGTGCTGACAGCAGTAAACCTTTGGGTACTGCTGTTGTGCAGACATCCAGGACAGGAGTGTTTGGGATTCACTGCTGGATCGCTTTCCTCTCTGCTATATCAGCAAAAGCTAACTGTTCCTGCTTTAGTGCAAACATGGGTCCCTTGTGAAGCATGAGGTAATTCCTGCAAGAAACTTACAAATCTGGCATTTTTGGCATGGACAGGCAGCAGATTCCAAAGTGGAGACGAATTTGAGTTGTTTTCACCTCATCTAATCTGTTTAAACACACTCCTATCCCCTCTGATTTGGGAATACTTAGATTAAAACAGAATAGTTCTCTGCTCTGTATTTGTCAGGGCAATTGTAATGTTATAGAACAGCTGACATGTTTAATTTATTAGGAAACTGATACTGTAAGGAGAAACCATTGGTCAAGTACTGAGAGTTGAACTTAAACATTAATTATTGAAGAAAAATTACTAAGTTTTGATTTAGTGTAGGCACACTTCTGTGTCTAACCATTAAACGAAACCTAGCCTTTGCTGAATTCATCAGTGCTGTGTATGATGACTTGTTTTCATTATCTGTGGATTTGGTTTTCATCCTGCAAACCTTTTGTAGACAAAAAATGACCCTTTGTCCACATTGGAACACTTGCTTTTAGGTACAGGATTGAAAGTAGCCTTTGCTTAAACCCTGTGGGGGATTTTCTAAAATAAAATACCTCTCTTTCCTCAAAACTTTTCTTCTTTTCAGTTAATAAAAGGTTGCACAGGTTAATAAATCAGTGGTGTATTTTGAACATCCAGAACAAAACGCCTGTCTGGCACTTCTTTTGAAAAGCATTTTTCCCTTAAATGTTAGAGAAAGAGTTATAAATGTCACCTTAATAATGTACATGCAAATGAGCCTTGATGTTTTATTACACTGGAAAAGAAAAGAGAAATGAGTGGATGGGGACATAAAAATTTTGGACTGAAAGTGATCAGCTTCTGGGTTTGCTTTGCTACCCACACAGAGTGGGGAGGCGAGCCAGCTGGGGTGTTTGCTTGCAGAGTTCAGTAGTCTAAACTTCATCAGATGGGGCCTGAGGACAGGGTTCTGGTGAACAAATAATTGTAGATGTGGGGTTGTCTGTGAAGCCTTTCTGTAGCGAATGTGTGAGGACAAGTGGAGGAGCTGGGGCAGTAGCACTGTGATAAATATCTATGTAAAAAAATCTTGGTATTTTGTGGTCTGTTTGGTTATACATCTTGGGAGTAAAGCTGCCCAGCCCTTGGCAAGGGCAGGAGAAGGTGCCCTTTTTGTGTGTAGAAAATGAGAATCATCCCGAACACTACTGTGGGGCAGCTGCTCCATAGCTTTTCAAACTCTCATGCCACAGTGATGTGTCCAGCAGCTGTGGTGTGTGGCTCTGGGTGCTTTTGGGCCCTCTGAACCCCAGTGTGCTCCTGGCAGACACTGTTACATGCTCCTGCTAATGAATCCAGAGCTCCTTTTTGGTAGGAGCTGTAAAATTGCATGAAATTTTGTGGGGTACCATTAATATAAATTTCTGCATTAAAAAAAATGTAGAAAAGAGTTCTTCAGAGCATCTGAGTTCAGCTCCATTCCCTCCACAGGACAGCCCCAAGAATCACACCATGTATTCTTCCTGACTGTTTAGTATTAGCTACCAGTTCTAAAAGTAGAGTTGCTTCCATTCCCATCTTCCATCTTCACATTATTAGTGAAGAACCCCAGAACTTTTCTGCAGGGTTATCTGCTAATGTTTAAAACTCCTCATGATAAGTGATCTAGAACTGAAATCTTTCTTCTGCAGATGGTAGCAAGGTCTCTGATGCAACCTTGATGGAGGTCTTATTGATGAATGACTTTAAGCTTGTTATCAACAACACAGCATACAGTGTGTCACCTCCTGTAAAAGGTAAGAACAATTCTTAATAACTGATCATTTCACTTCATTTAGTGAAAGGCATGGGAAGCCTCAGAAAACTGGGACCTGGGAGAATGATGTTTCCCTTTGGCTTTGTCTTTTTACCATTGGATGGCCCTACTTTTGGGGTTGGAGGTGGGGAGAGAATGAAGAAGGGTGTGTTCTTGAAATGGTTTATATGACAAATATTTTCTTTTCAGATAAGCTGAGTAGTGAGCATGCTACTGAAATGGAAGATATCAAATCCTTGGTTCACAGACTGTTTGTAGCTCTACATTTAGAAGACCACCAGATCAGGAAAGAGAGAGAATTGCTACAGAAACTGGACCATCTGAAAGGAGAGCTGCTGCCTCTTGAACAGGTTGGAAAGTGGGGGTACTTTTTCTTTTTTTTAACTTGTAAGCATTTCCTTTCATCAGAATTAAGTCCTGTGACAGAAGAAAATCAGCATGAATGGCTAGGGTGTGTCTGTTCTGTTTGTTATGTTAACGAGGTCAACTCAAGTAGAATGCAAATTATTTTCAATTCAGTTGTTTTCCTTCCTTTTGTGGACATTAATGGGGTAGAAACACAACACCTGGAGAAAGCTGTCATGAACGTGGCTAGTATTGAGATTGAAAGGCCTTTTGTTGAAATGTCCTTGAAAGTCACCTGTTGCTTTATGAGTTCTGAATACCCATGACAGCAAAAAAAACATAGTAGTGGGGTTGACATCATCCATGGCTTAGGATAGTGGACAACAGGACTCCTGCTTTATGAGAGCCAGCCTCAGTGTTACCCAGAACTGCCTTGAATGGCAAATGGAAATCCAACAGATACAGATCCCTAGTAATCCAAAGGGGAAATTAAAAGCAGGAATTCTTGGTGCACAATGGCAAGAAGATCTGGTTGCCCTTGGACTTCAGTGCTTTTGTTTTCACAGCAGGGTAAGTCAGTAAGAGGTGCTGGTAAGAGATCCTGAGAAAGGATCTAGTGCAGGGGGAGAAAACATAGTTGAGGAACTGTTCACCAGAGGAGCACTTATGTTTAGTTGAGCAGGTTTCTGCATTTCTTTTCTTCAGATGAAAGCCAGAATCGTGGACAGTGCAGATGCAAAAACCTCCAGGCTTTTATGGGTTGGCCTAGCTCTGATGTCAACTCAGGGGGGAGCGTTGGCATGGCTCACATGGTGGGTCTACTCTTGGGACATCATGGAGCCAGTCACGTACTTCATCACCTACGGGAGTGCCATGGCTTTCTACGCCTACTTCGTTCTCACCAAGCAGGTGAGTCCTTGTCTTCTAAATGTCTGGAACATTGAAAAGGAGGAAAACTGATTCTGTGAATCACCATGTTTGAGCTCTGATGAAGCAGAATTCAGTAAGGCCTTGCCATCAGACAGGGACTTGTTTGATCCCTAATGTGTCTGGATACAAACATTACATCATGCAGAATCAAGCAGGTACTGCTGCACATGAACTGCAGGCCAGCTACTGAGCATAACTACTGTCAGTAAGATTTCATAACCTAGGGAATAAAAAGTGAGGAAAGAAGTCTTCCTTTTAAAATGTTTGTAGATCACTTTGCATAGTAAATGGCACCTTGGTCACTGCAGTATTGGGACAGCAACAGGTAGTCCTGTGCCAGTTTGTGAATGCTGCCTTACAGCAGCAAGTCATCCAACAGTAGTTTTTATTTGCTGGAGTTTACGTATATACAGTGCAGGGTACCAAACTGTTTGGAACTCTGGCAGTTGAATTACTGAAATATACTGAAATATATTTAGTGCCTGAAAAAATGTTACTGCTCTGCTCTTCTTAATCTGCTTTTCCATGACTTAGAATGAATGGAGGTAAATGTAGGACAGCTGAAATGGAGCAGGAAACAGGCATTGTGTAAAAGCAAAAAGTTTGCTCAGATCTTAGCTTCACAATACAGACTTGTTCTGAAATCCTGTTAAGACTTTGAGAAATGTTTCTATGTCCTGTTTTAGCTCTGTACTTTACTCTCAAAGTGGACATCCTGATGTTGAACTTTCTGTGATGCCAAACTCTTTTTGTTGTGGAATTACGTGGAAGAGTAACCAGCACTTTCTTCCATTGTACCAGTGGATCTATAGACCTTGTGAGACATTAGGTTCCTTCAGTGAAAAGGGGAGATGCATCTGTTTTTATGAAGAGCTGGCTCAGAATACGAGTTTTACTCCTTCTGACTGGTTTTTAAGAAGGGCTAAGCCATTCCTACTTTTTGTGAGTAGATAAAGAGATTACTACTTGGTTTTTTTGAACAGCTGCTGATGCCATTGCTTAGGACTTTCAAGTAAGTCCTCAAAAAGTAGTTCCTGAACTTTGTCTGACTCCTTGGAAGTAGATTCCATTGACTGAGGTGGCTCCAGTCATGAAGATGATGCTATGTCTTTATTGTAACTGAAAATTCCTTCAGACATGATAGAAATGACTCTTACTATGTGTTTTAAAAGCCCTTATGGCCCTTAAGAGCATAACTTCATCTGTAGCCTCTTTACAAAACATACATGGGTGCTGGACAAGTCCTCCTGAAACAGGCTGAGTTTCTCATGTGCTGACCTCTAGTCAGTTTCCTTGCTAACCACAAATCCATGTTCTCCTTCCTTCCCCAGGACTACATTTATCCTCATGCTAAAGACAGGCAGTTCCTCCACTACTTCTACCGCAAATCCAAAAAGCAGCGTTTTAATGTGGAACAATATAACAAGCTCAAAGACGACCTAGCAGAGGTATTTAAGTACAGTCCTTCAATAATGACACCACTTCTGGCTTAAGACTTTTTCAGCAAACTCTCAGATAACAGAAAATTAACCTCAAGGCTTGTTATCAAAACACTGTATTGCTTATCAGCCAGTTTCAGCTGTTCAGATAATCATACAGTGTTTGCTTTTGATGTATAAACTACTTCTGTAGGTCATCAGAAAGGGAGACCTTAATGAATTTAATTTAAAACTAGTCAGTTTATCAGCACGACATCTATTTTTTGCATACTCTAAGTAATGTTGCGTTTTTTACCATTTAATACAATAACTTTATTTATTTTAGGCACAGTATGTTTGCTGCACTGCTGTGGTAAACCTATCTCCTCCCTTCTTTGGAAGGAGATTGCCTTGTAGAGTTCAGCATTTGACATCATAACCTTATTCCTTAGCTAAAAGACTTTGATTTACAGAATATTGGTGATTGGACAGAAAAGGTGGTATGTGCACCTAGGAGAAATTTGATGGCCTTCATGAAATAGTTGTAGCAGATCTCTTACTCTTCAATTATTACTCCTCCATCCCATCTTGACAGCCCTATGTTCAATAATATCTCAAAAAAGAAAATGGTAACTACCTCTAATTTTAACTCAAAACCATAGTTCAGGGTGTAATTTCATGTGCCAAAATTGACATAATGTTGCAGTTTGATGCTTTTTCAGTGGCTTGGGGGTATGAATTTTTTAATTGTCATTTGAAATTAATGAAAATAATACTCTGGGGTGTGGGTGAGTGGGGTGATGGGCAGGGTTCATGCTTCTCTCTGCATGACCTGAGCAGGTCTGTCAGTGTTCCCCATCCTCCTTTTGACTGGTTTGGTTCCTTGCTGAAGACCAATGTCTTCTGAGAAGAGTGCATGTGTGAAAGAGGACAAAACAGAGGCTGCAGAAGGATGAACTCTCCCTCTCTCTTTCATTGGCAGGCAGAAGAATCCCTAAGGCGTCTGCGCCAACCACTGCACCTGAGGCTTCCCATCCAGGAAATCAGTGACAAGGACTGACCTTGGTTTGGTGTAGATTGGAGATACCCTTTCAAAGCTGATACCAACATTTAGTTACTCCATAGCACCTGGGTATTTTTGACCACTAAAGTTTTAAAAATTGCAATAAATAGCTTTAAAAGTGATTTGGTCACTTGGTGGTTTGGTTTTGTTTTGCTTGTTTTTCGTTTTCTTTAAAACCCTATGAAGAAACTGCTGAAGCAAAGTTCTTAAAATATTTGTCAAATCCCATTAGTACAATGGAGGCATTCTTACTGCTGGTAAGAGGACAGAACAGACAAGGATAGCCTTTTTAGTACCATTTACATAACACAACAGTAGCTCATAGGATAATTAACTTCTGCATGGAGTAGTAAGGATTATTTTCCTGCAATTACTGTTTCCTTTTCCTGGTCTGTGCATTGACTCTTTGTAACACCACAGGTGAAGTTTAGATTAGCATGACAATTAAGCTTTCTTAGTAAATAGTGCTGGAAAAGTAAGGTATCTCAAACTTGTTATAAAATCATTTATATTTCACTGTTGCATTTTATTGAAAGTATTTATCAAAACATCGTGCTTTATACAGAATTTAAAAGTAAGTGTAGTAAGATTCAACATCTATGACTCAGAACGTAGTATATGGAAAGACTTAACTAAAGCGGAGCCAGTAAACCAATTATTTTTTCCCCAGAAAAGTGGATTAAGACACTTTGCTGAGTTTCAATTCTCTGTTGTCCCTCAGAGGAACAGTTTATAATGTAAAAAAGCCAAAACACACAAACAAAAAAACAAAGAAAAGAAATATTTGCTTCAAGTCAGCACCACTGCAATTACTGATGCTGCAGCAGTAACAATCCCGTGGTGACTATGCACCATCACTTTTATGCACAGCAACAGAGGTATGGCTGATCTTCTCCAGGGCCAAGAGGAAGCCTGATCCACCTCAAAGGCCTGAAGTATAAAGGTTTGCATCTGTTATGTTTTGTAGAGCTGCCTAGAGATGTCCAGCAGCTTTAGCTTTAGAGATACGGAGGAGGCAAGCTCACCCTGAGCAAGCTGCACATGGTCTCGTCTCATTACTGCTGTTTTTCTCCTGAGGATGCAAAGCACCAGCAAGCTGTAATCGTGCCCCAAGCATAAATTATATTCAAGCAAAAGGAAACCCTTTATTAATCAACCCTACTTGATTAAGCCTGTATTAATGCTACAATTGTTCTCAAGGAATTAAGTTCCTTTTTAGTGTTGCAAGAAAAAAAAATGTCAAAAAGCCTGATAAAACAACAATAGTTGTGCATTCTGCTGTCCACAAATTTAAAAAGATGCCGTACAAAGATATTCCCTGTAAACTGTGCTCTTGGAGGAAGACAAGTTAATCTAATGTAATATTAGAAATGTTTTGGAAATAGTAAAATGTGCCATAGTTAGATGGCAATCAACCAAGAAGCTTTTAAGAAAAAAGTAGTCTGGAGCATCAATTTCAATAAAATCTGAGCACCTTCTAATAGTTCGGCACCAGTCAACTTTTCCCAAATTCCCTGAGATTAATTCCCTGGTGTAATTCTAGCTTTAAAATTGCTTTAAGATTTTAGAAACTATTAGGTATACAAACTGTAATGTTTGATCCCAGTGATTTTGCAGACAATCATGCAGAATATTAAGTCTCCTCAACTAAGATAGTATTCTTTACTTCTGCAGCAAGTAATAGTAATGGTCATCACTTCTAAATAACCTACTTAGATTTTGGATGAAAATACAACTTTTTAGTTAACATTGAGGCAAAACAAGGAATCTGTTTTTTCCCTATAGCATTAATGTCTCTGCACATATCCACCCTGCGATATGACACTTTCCTGTTAACAACAGTAAGAAGTTCTGTGAACTCCAAGGAAGACCCATGCTTCCTAAGGGTCTCACACAAATCTTGGATGTACCAGGAGCCATTTACAGTTTCACGATGAGAATAGTAGCCTAGAGTAGAAAAAGAACATAAAATTACATTCAAATATAAGTAGTGATAACTTCTTGGAAAAATATTTATGAGAGTCACTGTTTGCTAGCTACCATCAATCAGGAATTACTAATGGGTGCAAATCTTACTTTGCCAATTATGCAATTTCACTGTAAACTGTAGATGGAAAATGGTTTTGGTACCACTTGTAGTGCTCAGCTCAGCTAAGAGGAACATGATTCGGGGATTGGTAGCTTACAGGACTACATCTCTGTAAGAGCAGATGGGATGGAGGACAACATACATGGGGGACATGGCACATGTAGTGCAGGAAAATTTATAAGCCACCAGAATCCTGGAAAAGAGATGGATGCTTGCTGTCAGGAGGCAGCTCAGCCGCAAGACTGATGACAATGCTTTTGTTTGGCAAGTTTAATGCACCTTCATAATTTACTTGCACTTTTTCTTTAGCACATAACATTCTTCCCCAGACAAGTTGCTACTTGTCAGACATGTAAATAAGATGACTTGGAACTGTTCTCATTTTTTGGACTGCAAAATGAAGAAGTGTTCAGGGTTGCTACAATGAACTATCAGACACTGGATGTAAAATACTAGAACTTACCTTGTGCCACAGAGTAGCACATGATAAAGTCTGCACCAGCAGGCAGAGTATACACACCAGCTGCATCCACTTCAGTCTCGTTGACAAGGGATTCATTGCTGCTGTCTGTTGAGTCATGAGCAATGACCGGATCATCATGTTTATCACCTCGACAGGCCTGTTGGTGAGAAGTGTTGTTATGCTTGCACCCGTGCTGAGCTCACTGTTGATAAGATAATTCTGACATTAACCAGAGGCACTTCTATTCAGCTAGGTGTGCCACATTAGCATGACTCTGCCTTCAGAAAGGCCCATTTACTACTCCGTCTCTTAAAATGTTGGGGACAAAGTTCACTGAAAGCCCAAAGATGATCTCAGAATCACTACAACGGGAAGGGATCTCTTGAGATCCCAACCCCCTGACTCAAGCAGTGTTAGCTGTTGTCCAGGACTGTGTCCAGTCAGCTTCTGAGAATCTTCCTAGGTGGAGACTCCACAATTTGTATGGATGACCTCTTCCAGTCTTAGACAACCTTACAGTAAAAAAAAATGTTTTCTTGTGTTTTAATTTGTTTCAGCTGCCTCTTAACCTGTCACTTGGGTACCACTGAAAAGAGCCTGTCTCCCTCTTATTCCCTCCCACCATGAACATGGGTAAGGTTCCCCTGAGTCATCTCCTCCAAACTGAGCAGTCCAGCTCTCTCAGCCTCTCCTCATATCAAACATGCTCCAGAGTCCTGTAACCATCTTTGTAGCCCTTTGCAGGACTCACTCCAGGAAGTCTGTATTTTTCTTGAACTGGGGAACTCAGGACTGGATACAATACTTCAGATGCAGCCTCACCAGTGCTTAGTAGAGAGGAAGAATTGCCTCCCTTGCTGGCAGTGTTGAATTACTGCTCTGTTACACTTCTGCTCTTAGTGCAGTATCAAATGTATTTGTTGAGGGAGGGTTTTTTGTGAGAAGTCAGTACTGATCCCACTATTGTCAGTGATGCAGAAAGGCTACAAATGGAAGTTAACAAGGTGAGAGCACACTCAAAAGATACAAAGGAGCATTACTTCAGAACTACCGCTAAAAAAAACCCCACAAAGACTCTTCTTTACAGTGATGAAGTTCCATCTTGATGTTTCTTCTGATTTCCAGAGGTGCTATGACAGTTGTGCTGGGAAAGAACTCAGCTGATGAACTAATTAATTAGCTTTTTGATGAGTATATATTATAAATGTTTCCAAGTATTACTTATAATTGAAACTTGAAAATATTTTTTCCATCTTTGGCACCAGGTTAAAAAAGAAATAAGGAAATCTGAATGAGTCCTAATGAAAGGTGAATTAACAATATGCTGCTTCGTGCAGCAACCCTGTGCCCTAAGGAAGCTTTCATCTGGGGAAAAAAAAGGATAATACTTAGAATTAATCTGTAAACTACTACAGTTACAATCTGCTGAAGGCCAGGTTCATATATGAGTTTGCTAATTGTAATCTGGATAAAAATGGGATAAATCAATCCCTGCATGACCTGGTTTGACCTCATGACTCTGCTTTGAACAGGAGGCTGGACCAGAGACCTCCTGAGGTACCTCCCAACTTTCATTCTCCTGTGAACCAAGGAAAGAAACAGGAGGTTACACATGGTCTTTGTCTGACTACTTAGCACAAATAGTATTCCTGAGACAATAAAGGATTATTTGATTTTTTAGATTCTACAGAGATGCCAGGTATAGGTCATAGACAAAAAACGACAACAACAACAACAAATGAAACTCACTACCACCACAAAAACCAACAACCAAAATGTCCCACAAAAAAAAAAAAAAAAGAAAAAAAGAAAAGAAACAGGAAAAAAATCAAAAATCCCAAACACAAAACCCAGCTTCACTGAGGATCAAGTAAAGGGACTTGCCTGGAAAGAAGCAATGAAGATGCCAAGGTTTGATGGTTTATCAGCTTAGCCTAGGGCTGTGAAGTATGCCAAATGGGAACTGAGCTGAGGCTGCACAGAACTTTATCAAAAAACCCTGGTACTGCATTCTCTGCTATTAAATACACACTGACAGTTGATCTGACATGTCTGACATGGGCTTAATTTGCATTTATTTTTGTAAAATTACTTATTAAATACAGCTTTAATAATAACATTAATAGTAGTACACATTAGGGTTTCTAATAAAAATAGAAGAATCCCTGTCTTAAATGCCTTGTAGAAAGACTGCATAAGGAAAACTGACATCTGTGTTGCAGGAAGACACAAGTCAGCATTAACTACACTGAATTCAGGAATGGACATCTTACCTGAATTATAAATATCTTTGGTTTTCCTACTAAACTCTGGCACTTGTCTCCTCTGAACATGTCTGTGATTTTCTGAATTTTGATTTTGTCATCATATGCATAAATGTGATCATCCTCACCATGACTCAGGAACACACACACAAAGCAGTCAGCATTGCTGTGGTCATCCCTAGAGGCTGAAACAGTAAAGTGGTGTTTTAATGACAAAACAGTCATATTCAGGTCTAAAAAAACACTGTACATTTATATCATATAATCTAATCTCCAATCAGTCCTTTTTCAAATGGATGTTTTTTT